CTAGGCGTCGTCGTCCTGTAAAAATGACTGCAAGAGCACAGCACAGAATGCTGCATGAGGTAAAGAAGAATCCCAGAGTGTCGGCTAAAGACCTACAGAAATCTCTGGCACATGCTAACATTTTTGTTGAGACATCTACAATAAGGAAAACATTAAACAAGAATGGAGTACATGGGAGGACACCACGGAGGAAGCCATTGCTGTCCAAAAAGAATATTGCAGCACGTTTGAAGTTTGCAAAAGAGCAACTGGATGTTCCACAGCACTACTGGCAAAATATACTGTGGACAGATGAAACCAAGATTGAGTTGTTTGGGAAGAACACACAACACTATGTGTGGAGGAAAAAAGGCATAGCACACCAACATCAAAACCTCATCCCCACTGTAAAACATGGCGGAGGGAGCATCATGGTTTGGGGCTGCTTTGCTGCCTCAGGGCCTGGACGGATTGTTGTCATTGATGGGAAAATGAATTCCAGAGTTTATCAAGACATTTTGCAGGAAAACGTACGACCATCTGTCCGCCAACTGAAGCTCCGCAGAGTATGGGTGATGCAACAGGACAATGACCCAAAGCATACAAGTAATTCAACAAAACAATGGCTGCAACAGCACAGAATACGCCTTCTGGAGTGGCCCAGTCAGAGTCATGACCTCAACCCGATTGAAATTCTGTGGCATGACCTTAAGAGAGCGATTCACACCAGACATCCCAAGGATATTGCTACACTGAAACAGTTTTGTGAAGAGGAGTGGTCCAAAATTACTCCAGATCGTTGTGCAGGTCTGATCTGCAACTACAGGAAACATTTGGTTGAGGTTATTGCTGCCAAAGGAGGGTCAACCAGTTATTAAGTCCAATGGTTCACATACCTTTCCCCCCCCTGTAAATGTTTACATGTTATGTGCAATTAAACCATGGCAACATCTAATGTTTGTGTAGTATTACGTTCAGCAGACTGTGTTCTTCCATTGTTGTGACTTAGATGACGTTCAGAGCACATTTTATGCCCAATTCATGCAAAACTCCACGTAATCCCAAGGGGTTCACATACTTTTTCTTGCAACTGTAAACAGCAAACACAATTGATTTTGAACTGGTTATTGTTTTATAACATGAACACCTAATAAGCAAGTCTCATTTATATTATGCTGTTTTACCAGAGAGTATTCTTCTTTCTCATCTGTTCTTCTAAAGCAGGTTAAGTAGGTACAGGGCTGATAGAAAATCCAGACTAATCTAGCGTGTTTTATCAGTGGCAAGTACCTGGGGGACCTGATTCATGCCTGTAGACTGATACACTGTGTTTGTGTTTATGCAGAAATTCTGCTCCAAATGAGACAACAGAAGGTGCAGCATCTTGGCTGGGTTAGTCTTTCATTGTCTTGAGACCCTTTGGGTATAAATCATGAACTGGAGGAAAAAAAAAGAGATATTTAGCTATTTTAAGCAGAGTGTTGCCAGTCTAAGTACAAAAAGTCTCTGGGGTTTTAAGAGGAAAACCAGAGAAGTCTCAACCTGCGAGCTTACAAGACTAAAAACCTCTGAAGAGCGAATTAAGGCTAAATTTATAGCAGACATATGGGAGCAGAATTGATCTTAACTCCGAATTGGTAAATGAGAACATTGGTAGGAAAATTCCTATTAAAGGTCATGGAGCTCTTACATGAAAGAATGTTTAGTAATACAAACGGAGGTCTTGGTTTTTGTATTGAGAGGAACTTTATTAACAATCCAGCTTCACTTTCACATTGTGCTGCTATTGCCTTTAACAAAGACATTAACTTTCAGCAAGAATGGATTTTCTGTCTGAAGTTAAAAGTGGTCCCAGTGCTTAAGACCTCTCCTGATTTTCCCTGTATCCGCATTCAGTATCTGAAAACTGGTTTCTGGGTTGTGACTGGTTAGATGCTTTGTGAACACCATAACATTTGAACATTTTAATGTTTGGACTGCGTCCCCAAAGATTTATCTGTAGCACTAAAATGAATGTACCGTTATTTGCTGGGACATATGTCTGAGAAACCATGTACTGGACTTTGTAAGATAATGCTGACTGGCACCAAAGGAGATCAAATGAATTTCAACTTTGCTACTGTTAACCACTTGCCGACTGCAGATAGCCCAATGACGGCTTCACTGCGGCCAGCCAGTTCTGGGAGGGCGTCATATGACATCCTCCTTGAATGTGCTCTCCTGCGTGCCCCCGGGGGGAGCGCACCCGCCAATCTCCATGATCTCTGTGTCCTACAGACACAGCTGATCATGTGATGTGGTAAAAGGCCAATCACAGTGGCCTTTTACCACGTGATCAGTTATGTCCAATGACACACTGATCACCGGGAAATGCAATTGCTGGTTATCAGCTGCACTTTCCTCATGCTGTCACAGCATGAGGAAAGTACTGACGACAATCGTCAGTTATCAGAGGAGGGATCGGCACCGATCATCAGGGCATTGATGATCAGTGCCCAGCAGTGCCGCCCACCTGTGCCCATCAGTGCAGCCCAGCAGTTTCCACCAGTCAGTACCGCCTATCGGTGCCTATCCATGCCACCTATCAGTGCCCATCAGTGCTGCCTATAAGTGCAGCCTTATCAATGCACATCAGTGAAGGAGAAAAATTACCTGTTTTCAAAATTTGATAATAGAAACAAAGAAAAACTTTGTGTGTGCAAATTTTTTGCTCTTTTTTTTTTTTTATGGTGTGTAAAAAATAAAAACCCAGGGGCGAGTAATATCACCAAAGAAAGCTCTATTTGTGTTGAAAAAAATGATAAAACTTTCATATGGGTACAATGTTGCATGACTGTGCAATTGTCATTCAGCGTGCGACAGCTGAAAATTGGCCTGGTCAGGAAGGGGGAACAAGTGCCTGGTAGGCAAGTGTTTAAAGGATAAGTTCAGCTTTGGGAACATATTACATGTTCCAACCATTTTTAAGGTGGAACATGTACCATGTTTCCAATCCTGCAGCTGCTGCCCCTCCCCCCTTCCCGTGACATCAGTACGAGGAGAAATTCCCCGTACTAGCTGTCACTTTTTAAAAAACAGCGGGCCTTCACCCACACGGCCGCATCATTCATTCACAGTGTTCTGTAAATGAATAGACTACAAGGCCTGATAGCCTTATCGCCTGTCAGCTTGTAGTTCTCAATGAACTACCAAGGCACTTTGAGAACGGGATGTACGGACAAGCAGGTAAATTTGGCAGGTCTGCAGGAGAACTGCATGGCACCAGCGATCTGCTGATTGTTGGTGCAATGCTTTACAGGCTCCTACTACAAAAAATAGTAAATGCACATATTTTTACCTGCAAAATAATATACCATATTTTTCGCTCCATAAGACGCAGTTTTTTTTTCCCCCAAAAAAACTGGGGGTAAATGTCAGTGCATCTTATGTAGTGGCCGGTCCGGTATTTCCGCCGCTGCCGCCACCACCGTGTCAGAATACTGGGCCAGCCGCTCAGCTCTTCTCTGCAGCAGGACCTTACCTGTTCCTCGGTCCAGCGCTGTACAATCTTCCAGCGCCAGCATCTTTAGTGTGGGCAGCTGACTGTGACAGCTAGGTGCCCACTGCGCATGTGCGAAATGTGCTGCGCATTGTGAATGGTCCGGCGTCTTCTGGGACACATGATAGGTCCCAGAAGACACCGGGCCATTCACAAAGCGCAGCACTTTTCGCACATGCGCAGTGAGCACCCGGCTGTCACAGCTGGGTGCCCACACTAAAAAGGGAGGGACAACTCCACAGAAGTGGGAGCAGGTACCTGTCAAATTCAGGTGCCCACTCCCCCTCCCTCCCCAAAGGTCCGCAGTCTCTTGGTCATCCCCTGTACTGTCTGCAGTCTCTGGTCATCCCTGTACTGTTTGCATTCTCTGGTCATCTCCTGTACTGTGTCCGCAGTCTCTTGTCATCTCCTGTACTGTGTCCACAGTCTCTTGTCATCTCCTGTACTGTGTCCGCAGTCTCTAGTCATCTCCTGTACTGTGTCCGCAGTCTCTAGTCATCTCCTGTACTGTGTCCGCAGTCTCTGGTCATCTCCTGTACTGTGTCCGCAGCAGTCTCCCCTGGTGTCCGCATCTCCTGTACTGTACTGTGTCCGCAGTCTCTGGTCATCTCCTGTACTGTGTCCGCAGTCTCTGGTCATCCCCTGTACTGTGTCCGCAGTCTCTGGTCATCCCCTGTACTGTGTCCGCAGTCTGGTCTGGTCATCTGGTCCTGTACTGTGTCCGCAGTCTCTGGTCATCTCCTGTACTGTGTCCGCAGTCTCTGGTCATCTCCTGTACTGTGTCCGCAGTCTCTGGTCATCTCCTGTACTGTGTCCGCAGTCTCTGGTCATCTCCCTGTACTGTGTCCGCAGTCTCTGGTCATCTCCTGTACTGTGTCCGCAGTCTCTGGTCATCAGTCTCCTGTACTGTGTCCGCAGTCTCTGGTCATTTCCTGTAGTACGTCCACAGTCTCCGGTCATCTCCTGTACTGTGTCCGCAGTCTCTGGTCATTTCCTGTACTGTGTCTGCAGTCCCTGGTCATTTCCTGTAACAAGTCTGCAGTCCATTGGTTCAGAATATTTTTTTTTTTGTTTTACTCCTCTAGAACCTAGGTGCGTCTTATGGAGCGAAAAATATGGTATTTTTTAAAAAAAAATTTTGTAGAAAGGTGAACTTATCCTTTAAATGCTTGAGCTTTCAGCCACTAGTTTGCTGTTAACACTGTTTTGAGCATAGAAAATGGTAAAGTTTTCAAACTCTGAAATTGTCAGGAAAACTTTGGAAATAGCTGAGGAGTGGATTGGGCACTAAAGACAGAGTGACATGCCATGAAATAAAGAATGTGGATGGGTAGGGTTCACTATGTTTAAAGGCAACAAAGACCTTCTGGTGGGGCACAGCCGTTTGACCTTGGGGTATGTATTGTATATCTAGTAGCATTCTGATTTGGAAAACTACTGTAGAGTACTGACTATGTTGATGAGCTGTCCTCCCTTTCTGCAGGTGTGTGACGAGGTGAAGGCTTACCTTCTTGCTGACATGGCCCACATTAGTGGGCTGGTAGCAGCTAGTGTCATCCCGTCACCTTTTGATCATGCTGATGTGGTCACGACGACGACGCACAAGACTCTCCGTGGGGCCAGGTAAATCTTAGTGCACTTTTAAGTGCTTGAAAATATTTTCACAGTGCTGTGTAACATTGTGCTCACTTTTTTCACTAGCAATGCAAGTCTCATATTTCTGCTCTATAATGCATATTATGTGTCCTGTAGTATGCAGTTTTGATGGGCAACTCCTTTGCAGAGGGAGATTTTGATTTCTTTTGTCCTTGTAAATTTATTTAACAATTTTTTTTTTTTTTTTTTTAGATTTGTTCAGACTTTTAATTACTTTTTTAGCTTACACGTCACCCCATGGTTATAAAAACTGTAAAAATTTTTTTTTTTTTTGTGCACAGTGATTTTCCGAATGCAAATCTTTTGGAAAAAATACACTTTTTGGAATTTGAATGCACAAAACACAATATATTGCCAAGTAGTCTGATAATATAATAAAGATGATGTTACACCAAATAAATGGATACCAAACATGGCATGGTTTAAAAGTGCGCACGCCCGTGCAACGGCGACAAATTACATACATTTGTAATATCCATAGGTGACGCTTTAAAAGCCGTCACAGTTCACCACTTTAGATTTACACAGAGAGGTTTAGTGCTCGAATTACTGCCCTCGATTTGTCATTTGCGGTGATACCTCACATGCCTGGTGCAGTCTCTGTTTACATACCGTCGTGGGACCTTCGCTTACGTTTGCCTCTGGGCGCGAGCATGGGGGTAATTTTTTTTTGTTACTTGTTTTACATTATTTTTACACTGCACCTTTTTTTTTTAATCACTTTTATTATCACAGGGAATGTAATGCACGTACACACAGAAATAGAAAGCGACGTAAGATTACATTGTTTTGGCCAGAGATGCCGCTCTCCTGCACTTCGTTGCCGTGTGGCAAGTAGTTAAAGCAAAAAAAAAAAATTAAAACAAGTCTCTTAATTTTTTTTTTTAATTATTTTTCTTTTTTACAATTTAAAAAAAAAAAAAAACTTGTATCGAAGTTCTGCAATGTTACCATAGTAACATTGTACTACTCTGGGAGGGTGATCAGGGATTTTTTTTTTTGTTTTGTACACTTTGCATTGCAGGAGTAATGAAAATCATTGCTTGCTTTGAACTGTCATGAATGTGTTACGTTCATGTCAGTTCAATATAATAGTGATCTGTGATTGGCTCCAGCTGGTCACATGGTACAGGGTGTTGTGATTGGCCCCATGTGTCAAGTGAGAGCTGTGGACCAATCTAATCCTTGGAATTTTTTTAATGTAGAGAGTAGCGGTGGTAGGTGAAGAGGGAGCAAAGAAGAAAGACTATTTCCTTGATCATAAAATAATTCAGACTATAGAAAATGGTGAAACCTAATTTTGGCTGTGACAACTTTCTGTAATTATCTGCTGACTTAGAGAGACCCTTGGACACATCATAAAAGTGGTTGGCAGTGAGAAGATGGAGTGAGGGCCCACCTCTGAAAAGATTGTCTGGACCCACCAGTGTGCAGCCATAGGAAGATAGCTAGGGAGGTGACCAGGTACTGGTGAGGAATGCCAGTATTATAAAATAGAGCTATTCATGTATGCGGTTTCCCCTGTGTTTTTGAATAGTAAATAAAAAACTAAAAGGGACGGTTTGAGTGACATTATGTATACTATATTTATACATCTTAAATGTATGCAGTGTAGTATGTATAGCATATCAGTCTCATTTTTGTCAAATGTGACTTCAATTAAATTGGACACTGTATAGTTTAAAAGCCCCAAACACAGGTATTCTATGCTATCATCCGTTCCAATTTTTTAAATGTAAATCTTGGTTACATATTATTATTTCCTTGTCAGTGTGTGCCAACTGCAGATTCTAAGCATCTGTATTTTGCCTTGAGCGGTGAGGGAGTCGGCAGCTACCCTTGTGATAAGAATCCTCAGCGAGTGGTGAGAGCTCTGCCAGCATTTCTTCATGCCGTTCTCTACACCTTCCAATCAAAGTAATTAACAAACAGGTCTCAGCACACGTATGCCTCTTCCCTTGCCTCCCCTGGTTTTTTCTGATCTCTAGAGATTTTTTTCCTTTTTTTGCACCTCTCTTGCTTCCGTTGGTTGGTTTCACACCCTGGAGTAGAGCGTGAAGCTGGAAACTGTGAAACTGAGCAGCAGGGATCCTCATCCTTTCTCACTGGGCTTCATTCACCCTTTCTCAGCACTTTGCCAAGATCTCTGCAACATGAAAAACCTCTTCTTACAATGTATTGCTGCTCATATACGTTATAGCAATTTGGGTAACTTGTATGGATAGTGACAAATGTAAAGGGATTGTAGGTTTTCAACACATGGGTCTTTTTATACATTTCTTTTTATTTATAGATAAAGTGGCTTCTTTTGACATATTTTCTTGAAATTGAATTCTAGACACAAACCCTTGAATGTACAGTTAAATGTACATATGTTTATTAATTTACTTTTCAAAGTATATGTAATTCAGCTCAGCCACCTTGTGATTCCCACAATTCTGCCTCACTGCACATACAGGAACATTTCTCATTCTCTCATTTTTCTTCAGCTTTATGGCTTTCTAGGTCTCATCCCTTTTAATTGTCCATTGCGCAGGCTGGAAGCAGAGGGAGAGGAATTTGGGGGAGATTCACAAGGAGTGGACTATGGCTGGTGTGAGCACTTCAAGAGCTACCACACACAGACATATCCAGGACATGGGCTACAATTGTCGCTTTCTTTGTTTCAAGCCACTCCTGAGACAACATCAGAAGTGACTTAAATGGGCTAAGGAGAAAAAGGACTGGACTGTTGTTCACTGGTCCAAAGTCCTCTTTTCCAATAAAAGTAAATTTTGCATTTAATTTAGAAAGCAAGGTCCCAGAGTCTGGAGGAAGATTGAAGAGGTACAGAATCCAAATTTCTTGAGGTCCAGTTTGAAGTTTCCACAGTCAGTGATGATTTGGGGGGCCATGTCATCTGCTGGTGTTGGTCTACTGTGTTCACCTATAGGTGAATGGATACTGGCCGACCAATCAGAGAATAAGTCCTCCGCTGTATAACCCCTCCTACACAGGAAGTATTTCCGCCAGTGTCTGTAAGGTGGATGGTCACTAAAGTGTTGCATGTGTTCTAGGAGCATGAAGGTCTAGAATGGTTCCATCAGAGAATCAGGGACTTTAATCAGATCCATTTGGAAGGCTGTTGGCCAAAATGGATGGTACATGAGCCTTGCTGGATAAGGAGAAGAATCCTCGGGGGTTGTGCCTGTAATGCAACCTTACAGCGCTGGACCCTGCGTAACGGAACCCAGTGCAGTATAATACTGACCAAGGTGCTTTCCGGCAGGGTGCTGTACAGGTCCAAGTCAGTGGCCCCACATTATGGGGACCGAGTCCTTGAAGGTTAGCATTACCAAGCCCACTATAATTGGTGAAGGTTGGACTTCAGGGTCCTGCGGTGGGAATGGTAAGTTAACATTTGCAGTATTTCTTTGAAAAACCTGACCATTTGCCCTCAGTGGCCTCCAGGAGAATGATCAGTGTGCTTTTGGTCTGACCAGGCCATGCTGTGTGTGTCTCTAAAGGAGTATTGGGCTGCAGTTTATTCCTCCAGCCACTAGAGGTCATGAGGCTGCTCTCTAGAATATACTGGTGCAGTGGAGACAGGAAGTAGTTAGGTGGCCATCTTAGCTTTTGTTTGTAGTCTCTTGTGGCTGGAGATTTGTGATGCTCTTGAAAGGTTGCAGAGACACGGAGCAGATCTCTGTGACTGGGTCTGTGATTGCCTAGCACCGCAACCCTGTTTTGCCATACAGTGAACTGGAAACTCTCAGCTGTCAGTGACAGAGCATATTTTTGGGATTTCTACCCAGGACAAGATAGTCAGCGGGACATCTGTCAGATTTTTGGGACCCTTCCGGGCATTTCGTGACTGTTGGCAACTGTGAAGGGTGTTTAATTGATTTTATTCAAGCCTTGGTATATGGCATTATGGTACATGGTTTTAAGATACAGTTCTATGATGTGTGTTGGTGGGTCAAAAGCAAGAATTCAATCCCAACACACTGCATAATCCAATATGGGTTGGTGTAGCTCATCCATGAATACATTTGATTGGGCACTTAGGAAGTAAACACACAAGTATGTAGGTTTGTGACCCATTTTCCTTATACAAAGAAGAAATGGACTGGCTTGTTTCTGTTCTTTTCCATATGAAAATTAGCAAATTATGGATACCCATAAAGAGACACCGTGACAATGTCTGTGCAATGCTTCCTTCACCTAATATTCTAACCACTCCAGTGCTGTGTCATAGCCACTATTAAAATACTTGGTTTTAGTACTGAAAAGAAGCGGTGACGTCATCCTATCCGTCATGGAACTGTGCCGATAGGCCCCAGCACTGCATTTTAGGACAAAGTCATTCTCCGCCATTCTTAAAAGCACTGAGTGTTTTGCTGAGGTAGCTAGAGAAAAAGGAGTGGTGGGGTAGAGCTGGAAAGGTATGAAATTGTTGGATGGTGAGCATTACACAGATCCTGTCACTTTGCCCCAAATGGGCAATGTAGCTGTGTCTTTATAAATTGTGAAAGGCACAGTCAGATGCATGACAACATTGGATAAACCCCTGGAAACTCTCTTCAGGGAAGTCTATCCCACCTCCACCTTAAAACTGAACTTTTACTTTCCCCATTAGCTCATCCCTCGCAGTTATTACATTTTTGTACCACTTGTCCCTCTCTTAGATAAGCTGGATGCTACTAACCCTCTTGTATTGTAACGGTACTGTCTGTCAATATATTTGAAAGCACTGCGCAAAACTATTGCTATTATATACATTTTCTATAATAATAATGGGCTGGTAAATATGGGAATCTGGTCTTTCTCGAAGAAATGTGATAGGCCTTATGTTTTTTTTTCAGCTCAACCAAGAGCATGAAGCCTTTTTCTGGGAAATTCAAGTCTTTCGATTTGAGTAAAAAAGAAGACCACTGTATATTTTATTGATAATCAGGCATTTTTCTTGACCTCTAAGAAAATTGCCCGGGAAAGTGGGAAAGCATAAGAGAATTTAAAAAAAAAAAATGCAGTCTCATTTTTAACTACTTGCCCTCCACAGGATTTACCCCCCTTCCTGACTAGGCCATTTTTTGCCATACGGCGCTGCATTATTTTAACTGACAATTGCGTGGTCATGCAGCACTGCACCCAAATTAAATGTACAGTTGCAAGAAAAAGTATGTGAACCCCTTGGGATTACGTGGAGTTTTGCATGAATTGGGCATAAAATGTGCTCTGAACATCATCTAAATCACAACAATAGAAGAACACAGCCTGCTGAACATAATACAACACAAACATTAGATGTTGCCATGGTTTAATTGCACATAACATGTAAACATTCACAGTGCAGGGAGGAAAAAGTATGTGAACCTTTGGACTTAATAACTGGTTGACCATCCTTTGGCAGCAATAACCTCAACAAAACGTTGCCTGTAGTTGCAGATCAGACCTGCACAACGATCTGGAGTAATTTTGGACCACTCCTCTTCACAAAACTGTTTCAGTGTAGCAATATTCTTGGGATGTCTGGTGTGAATCGCTCTCTTAAGGTCATGCCACAGCATTTCAATCGGGTTGAGGTGAGGACTCTGACTGGGCCACTCCAGAAGGCGTATTCTGTGCTGTTGCAGCCATTGTTTTGTTGAATTACTTGTATGCTTTGGGTCATTGTCCTGTTGCATCACCCATCCTCTGCGGAGCTTCAGTTGGCGGACAGATGGTCGTACGTTTTCCTGCAAAATGTCTTGATAAACTCTGGAATTCATTTTCCCATCAATGACAACAATCCATCCAGGCCCTGAGGCAGCAAATCAGCCCCAAACCATGATGCTCCCTCCGCCATGTTTTACAGTGAGGATGAGGTTTTGATGTTGGTGTGCTGTGCCTTTTTTTTCTCCACACATAGTGTTGTGTGTTCTTCCCAAACAACTCAATCTTGGTTTCATCTGTCCACAGTATATTTTGCCAGTAGTGCTGTGGAACATCCAGGTGCTCTTTTGCAAACTTCAAACGTGCTGCAATATTCTTTTTGGACAGCAATGGCTTCCTCCGTGGTGTCCTCCCATGTACTCCATTCTTGTTTAATGTTTTCCTTATTGTAGATGTGTCAACAAAAATGTTAGCATGTGCCAGAGATTTCTGTCGGTCTTTAGCTGACACTCTGGGATTCTTCTTTACCTCATGCAGCATTCTGCGCTGTGCTCTTGCAGTGATTTTTACAGGACAACCACGCCTAGGGAGAGTAGCAACAGTGCTAAACTTTCTCCATTTGTAGACAGTCTGTATTACCGTGGATACATGAACACCAAGGCTTTTGGGGGTACTTTTCTAACCCTTTCCAGCTTCATGCAAGTCAACAATTCTTGATCGTAGGTCTTCTGAGAGCTCTTTTTTGCGAGGCATGGTTCACATCAGACAGTGCTTCTTGAAACCAGTAAACCAAAAACAGGTGTGTGTTTTTTAAGGGCAGGACAGCTGTCAGCAACACATCCAATATCATCACACTGATTGGAGTCAAGGTTTGCTCACTCCTGGCTCCAATTAGCTCTGGGAGAAGTCATTAAGCTAGGGCCTCACATACTTTTTCCTCCCTGCACTGTGAATGTTTACATATTATGTGCAATTAAACCATGGCAACATCTAAAGTTTGTGTAGTATTATGTTCAGCAGACTGTGTTCTTCTATTGTTGTGACTTAGATGATGTTCAGAGCACATTTTATGCCCAATTCATGCAAAACTCCACGTAATCCCAAGGGGTTCACATACTTTTTCTTGCAACTGTATGTCCTTTTTCCCCTCACAAATAGAGCTTTCTTTCAGTGGTATTTGATCAACTGTGTGTTTTTTTGCGCTATAAACAAAAAAAGAACGACAATTTTGATAGAAAAAATATTTTTGGCTTTTTGCTATAAAACATCCAGTAAAACATTTACAAAATGAAATTTCGTCATAAATTTAGGCCAAAATGTATTCTGCTACATCTTTGCTGAAAAAAAAAAAAATCCCAATACATGGAAATTAATTGGTTTACGTGAAACTTATAGTGTCTCCAAATGATGGTGTGTATATATACTGGAATTTTTTTCTTTCTATACTAGTAATGGCGGTGATCAGCGACTTATTGCGAGACTGCGGTGGGCATTCTGACACTGGGGGGAACTGACAAACTGCCACTGACATTCCAATGGCACTAATACAGTGATCAGTGCTAATAAAAAGCACTGGCACTGTAGCAATGACACTGGGCAGGAAGGGGTTAACATCTGGTGCGATCAAAGGGTTAACTGTGGGCTATTTTACTATGCTGTGCTGTGTGTGTTTTACTAGGGAAACATACTGCTGTGTATTTCTATGCTGTGGAGAGAAATACACAGCAGCATGTTACTATTGGCAGGAGAGAGACTTGTTTTGTTGTGTTAGTGATACTTGGTGATCGCCGGGTACCGGCGGGGAATCTCTGGCCAGGACCCAGTTATTGACATCTGTAGCTGCCAATGGCTGCGTGGGTAGGGTGGCGCCCATGCTCGGCCCTACCCAAAATTGCAAGATCGTGTGTGTGTGTGTATATATATGTGTGTGTGTGTGATTTTGTGCAGCCCTGCCGCCCTGTAGCAGTAGTTCTGCTATAGGGCGGTTGGGAAGAGGACTTAACAAATAATTTAAGGCTCAGTTAACCTTTTAAATAAAATTAACTGTGCAGTCCAGGGGCCTTAGTGGGTTAAAGCACCCTGCGCTGCTTCCTTTCAATGCTGTACCTGTAAGTCATGAGTAGCAGCCCCAAAGCCTGACCGAAAGACTTCCAGCATAAGTGTTCAGCCCTGTCCTGCCTAGAAGATGCACCATATGTGGAGCTCTTGCCCCCAGCATCACAGGAGCAAGAGCTTTTTCCCAATCAAAACTAGTTTGTGTGCACTCTCTGACCTTATAGCATATACAGCAGCTGACCATTTTTAGCATGAAACATGTTTAAGGATCTCGGTCTTTCTCAGTGTATCTTGGGTTTTTTTTTTGTTTGGTTGTTTTTTGTTTTTTTTCACATAACGAGTATCATTAAAGTACTGGAAGTGCAGCCATTCATTATTTTAACCCTCTACCTCTGTGTTGAGCTGGACATGCACCCAGGAGTAGTGCAGGCAAGGGTGGACCAACCTGGAACTTCCCCAAGATAAAAGGAAGAAAGCACATTTACCAGGGAGAGATGTACAAAGCAACTGAATCATTCACTTCATTAGAGTTGGCATTTAAGTAAAAAGACAAAAAGTACTTTTAAGATTTCCCTTGTGTCATATATGCTGGAATCCTTTTCATTATTCATGGGCACTGACAGAGGTATAAGCTAACCACTGTGTCCTGACTGACAACACCTAGATCCAGGACTGTCATCCTCTCTTGCCCCGCTCCTCACAGAGGTCATCTCCTGCATCACCTTCTTCTTTCTTTATGTCACTGAGATCCAGCTCTCTCTCTCTCCTTGCTGCCTACATCTTCACATGCTCAGACAGAGCTCCGTCATTGTGAATGTTTAAATTCTGTTTTATACATGAGGATCGTGATGCCTCCTGGAATATTGACATCACGCATCCCAGAAGGTATTACATTTTCTTTATGTGAATAAGATATGTGATGTTGGTATCCCAGAAGGCTGCAGGATTAAAGGATTACAATAAATGTCACTCTTGCCTAGACTGGTGAGGGTGCGGGGGGCAGGGGCAGCAGTAAAAAAGCAAAACAAAAAGGTAAAAAAAAATTAAAAATGGTCAGCTTTTGTTAAAAGGGGAGGGTGAAGGATTACAATGGTCCACTATAAGCAAAATTTTTTTGTGTTTTAAAAACAGATCTGGACTTATATTTTACCGAAAAGGTGTCAAGTCTGTGGATAAGAAAACTGGAAAAGATATCCTTTACAACTTTGAAGACAAAATCAACTTTTCAGTTTTCCCTTCAATCCAGGGAGGGCCGCACAATCATGCAATTGCAGCTGTCGCTGTAGCTTTAAAACAGGTAAGGCAAAATACTCTAAATGTCTTGTAATCCTGAACTGTATGTGTGGTGTCTGTTGTGCTTATCATTTTTCAGAACTGATATTAAAAACTGTGTTAGGTTGCCTGCAATCGCAAAAATACCAAATTCACATTCTGTGGCGCACAGCCTTTAAAAATACATATTAGTCAGTCTTGAACTACACACAGTGATGATGCCCAGTTGTAGCATCAGTCTGCCTTTCAAGGGATGCAAAACCTATACACCATATACTACTCCAAACCAGTGATCCACAGTCGGGAGCTTATGAGTCACGAGTAACTCTAATTGTCATGCAATGACCAGCATTAGATTCAGGATTTCTTTGACCAGATAGTTTTGCACACCTGAAAATCTGACATGGCAAAATCAATCACATTTTTGTTGTTATGGCCCCTTTTACGCAGGCGTTCCATTTTTTTTCATCGGTTCAGTCATGTTTTTTCCAAGAAAAAACGGTTCAGTTTTTTACCAGTTCACGTCAGATTTTTATTTGATTTCTGTTAGTTTACATCCGATTTCATTAGTTTACATTTTTCAACATTGGTTCACATCTGTTTTTCATCATCAGTTCACATCTGTTTTTCATCATCAGGCCACATGTGTTTTTCATCATCAGTTCACATCTGTGTTTTTCATCATCTGTTTTTCACATCTCACATCTTTTTCATCATCAGTTCACATCTGTTTTTCATCAGCAGGTCACTCTGTTTTTCATCAGCAGGTCACTCTGTTTTTCATCAGCAGGTCACTCTGTTTTTCATCAGCAGGTCACATCTGTTTTTCATCAGCAGGTCACATCTGTTTTTCATCAGCAGGTCACATCTGTTTTTCATCAGCAGGTCACATCTGTTTTTCATCAGCAGGTCACATCTGTTTTTCATCAGCAGGTCACATCTGTTTTTCATCAGCAGGTCACATCTGTTTTTCATCAGCAGGTCACATCTGTTTTTCATCAGCAGGTCACATCTGTTTTTCATCAGCAGGTCACTCTGTTTTTCATCACAGGTCACTCTGTTTTTTCATCAGCAGGTCACTCTGTTTTTCATCAGCAGCAGGTCACTCTGTTTTTCATCAGCAGGTCACTCTGTTTTTCATCAGCAGGTCACTCTGTTTTTCATCAGCAGGTCACTCTGTTTTTCATCAGCAGGTCACATCTGTTTTTCGTCCGTTTACATCTGTCTTTCGTCTGTTTACATCCGGGTTTTTGCCCATTTTTTTTTTTTTACGTAAGAAAAATAGGGCTTTCTTCCATTCAAAAGAAAACAGATGCAGACATTAACGGATGTAAACAGATGATCATCAGTGAATCACCAGGTCCCGGCTGGTAATTACTCTCTGGTGCCTGGTGATTTCTGAGGATCTCCGACGGGGAGGAGACCTGTTTTGTTTACTTACAGTCCTCCCTGTCAGCTCACGCACACTGCTGTGGATGGCTGTGTATAGCACAGCTATCCACAGCAGTGTGATTACAGTGAAGCACACACACCCCGCCCCCTAATAAAACACTCCCTGCACACAGTTACCCCTTTGATCGCCCCTCATGTTAACCCCTTTTTCCCCAGTGCCATTAGTACAGTGTCAGTGCACTGTATTCCCCCCAGTGTCAGAATGTCCGCTGCAGTCCCGCTATAAGCCGTTGATCGCCGCCATTACTAGTAAAAATGAAAAAAAAAAAAAAAAAAATAGCAGTATATGTACCGTTGCATACGTTATAACTTTCTCTTAAACCAATTAATTTCCACGTATTGGGATTTTTTTTTTTTTTTTAGCAAAGACATGTAGCAGAATGCATTTTGGGGTAAACTTATGATGAACTTTGATTTTTTTTCTTAAATTTTTTTTACTGGACCTGTTTAATAGCAAAATGTAAAAAATTTGTTTTTTTCCTCAAAATTGTCGGTCTTTTTTCTATAGCGCTAAAAAATATACAAGCGATCAAATACACCAAAAAAAAGCTCAATTCGTGGGGGTGAAAAAAGAACATAAATTTAATTTGGGTGCAGCGTTGTATGACCGCGCAATTGTCAGTTAAAGTAAGCGCCGTAACGCAAAAAATGGCCTGGTCAGGAAGGGGGGTAAATCCTCAAGAGGGCAAGTGGTTAAGCTTTGACAATAAAACCTGGAAGTTGATTTGATTTCTATGCGGATCTGCATCAGATTTTGCACGCTCCAGTTTTTAATGACACCCCCCCCCCCCAAATCATGTACCTACTTTATTTCATAGGAATTATAGAGAACACAAACCTCTCTTCATCTCCACCCTCTCCTCATCTCCTTGACCCCTCTTTGTACACAGGCAGAGTGCACTGGATGTTATTAGATCGCAAGATTTCTGTAATATCAACAGGTATTGTTTGCACTTAACAAATATAACAAAACCTTTATTAGAAAAATGACAAACCTGTCATACCTACCTGCTTTGTGCAATGATTTTGCACCAAGCAGCCCGATCTTCCTCTTTTTGGGTCCCCGCCGGTGCTCCTGGCTCCACTGACCCCCCCAATAAGCCTATAGCAAGCCTCTTGCTCTGAGGGCACTGGTGCAATGCTGCTCACTCCTGGGCCAGGTCTCACTTGCAAATGGCTCTTGCTGCTGTATCTGAGCCAATGAAGAGTGATAGAGCTGAGAGAGCCTCAGCTCTCATGCACATTGCTGGATCAAGTTTGGATTCAGGTATTTATTGGGGGGGTGTGGGGGAAGCTGCTCGCAGAAGGTTTTTAAACCTTACTGCATAGAATGCAGTACGGTAAAAAACCACCTGCTTTTAAAACCACTAAGTGTAGGAATTAGGTTCATGGTCAGTCTTACACGAAAGTTAAGAGGAAATGACTGATAACTTGTTCAAAATAACAATGTTCTAATGTGCAGTAAAATTTACTGGTGCCTATAACTTCTGGTGCAGTGCTTTAGGAAGCTGAAAACAAACATACCACCTCTAGATGATACTTGTAGACGTAGATCTTATCTGTCATTGCATTTTTTTGTGACTAGTATTATGGCCAATATTTTATGACACACAAGCCTTGAATAAACACAGGGCCGAGAACACTTAATGACATGGAATAAATTCCTTTTTGTTAAGCCTTCAATTTGACACAAAGTATCTGCAAGCAGGCATGCCTGCTTTCAATTTGGCTGCCCAGCCTCAGCAGTGAACAGCTGAATCTGTTTGTTCTGTGAATGAACATGGGCAGTGGTTGGGTGGGTAAACTATAACTTGGCTTCTGTGTTTGAATGAACAAGAGACTTGGTTCTTACAGACCACCTTGTGTTTTGTGCAAAGAATACCAGATGTTTTATGAATAGACAAGGGGAGAAGAAAGGGAGGGTCGGTGATGGAACTCCTTCACTTTATCTGAGCAAAGCTCTCCTAAGGAGTGCACCAAGTAGAATGCTGGCTGTAGTACCAGACTGGTAGAAATGAATGAAATATACAATAAACAGGATGGCGCAGAGAATGTCATACATTTAAGAAGAGGTAACTTATTTTCTCAAACCGTCTTCCAGGACAGTCCCTTAAGACGTAGAGCTCCTTTGTCTGCGAGAGGACACGCGTAAGCCCAGAACCTTAAAAGACAGACTTCCAGGTCTCCCTCTTCAGTTTTTCAGTGTTTCCTCCGGAAGGACAGATGTACGTTCAAAGGAACCTGTATTGGATCCCTCCATGTCTGTACCTTCCAGTCCTCAGAGAAGGAGAACCACTGAAGATTTCCAGTGGTGCTGGCCCAGCCCACCCCCTGTCTCCTCGGTGCGGCGAGCCCCCCGGAGAGGTTCCTGGGGGCTGAGTCCGCTTCCTTGACCAAGCGGGCAGGCAGTCGCGACTTCCAGGAGGCAGAGCAGCTGCACTCCAAGCTGGTACACCGGAAGTTCCGATCTTGGTGACATCATAGGCGGGCGCCCAGACATTCATGGTTCCGGTCTCCATAGTGGCGCAGGCAACAGAGACCCAGCAGAGGCTGTGGCGACCACACCACAAGGGACATGATGGAAGGTGTTGGCACCCCCAGCAGGCGGACCCTGGTTCCTCAGGCACTGGCTCTTCACAGGTAGGCTTGGGGCTTTGACGGTGAGGCAGACTTCCTTTTTCTCCCCCAGCACAGTAGTGCTTGAATGAGGAGCAGAGGCTGATTATCTTCTGTGTTGTGTTTTCTGCTTGTTGTAGGTTAAAACCCAGGACAAGACAGAATCAGGCCCCTAAAAGGAAGTGTGCAGTGTGTGCGACAGAATTGGGTTCAGCTTCGGAAAAGCCCTTATGCAGCAATTGTGTGGATAGGCTAATTAAGGATGAGTCATTTACAGCCTGCCATAGGGTTCTCACCTCCATTAAGGATGACATGACAACTACATTTCAGTCATTAGATCCCTGCTGGATAGAATGCAGACACCGTTGGGGCCTTGGACCCAGTCGGCGGGTACAGTGTTATCGGAATCATTGAGAAGGGAGGAGGACCCGGAAGAGGATCCTAGGTCCCTTGCTTCCTCATAGGCAGGTTCGGGCTCAGAGCAAGATGACGGTGAAGCTTACTCCAGAGGTTCCAGGTACAAATTGACCCTTGGTGATGTAGATGACCTCTTTAAGGCTATCTATGAAACCTTAGACATCGAGGAAGAGGATATATGTCTGTCTAAGCATGACCTCATGTATCAGGGTCTACATGCTAAAAAGACTATAGTCTTTCCAGTCCATAGTTCGCTGGTTGATACCATTAAGTTGGAGTGGGAAAACCCTGAAAGGAAGCCCTTTTTTTCTGAGATTTCCTGTTGAGGAAGTTGGATCCTACCCATGGAACAAAGTTAGACACCCCCTTATCTAAAGTTTCTAAAAAGATGGACAGCATTTGACGCTATGGGGGCCCTAAAGGATCCTATAGATAAGAGGAGAAATCTTACTCCGGAGGGCCTGTGATTGCACCTCTATGAAATTTAAACAGGCTTTATCAGCCACCTGTTTCGCCAGAAATCTGGAATGTTGGCTTACC